ATTTATTTAATGACACTTAATAAGTTTTTATTTTACAAGTACTGTACAGTACAACAACAGTAATATGTTCTATTAGCAATTCGATTTCAATTCGCGGGGGCCTGAAATCTTTTATGCTTAAGAATTAGAAAGTGGATTTCTTAGGAAATTCCAAGGTTGCGTTTCACTTCCGAGTAACGGGCGGAGGTATGCAGTCTCTGAGTGCCCTCTAGTTTAAAATATGACAATAACGGCCAATTTTTCCGCCAATATCTCCAAAATAAATATTCCAATTATCATTATACGGCCAGGAATTATATACTAAATAATAATGGTTATTGACCGTAATTATAGACAGCAAAGGTAGTAATTAATGCGGCCAAAAGTACAATTACCAGTACGGAATATCGTATTATGTAAACAACAACTTGATATTATTACTTTATGGGAATTTTGCGGATTCGTACGCATAAATCCACTTTTTATTAACTTTAGTAGCAGGCTTTATTTCAAGCATAGAGTATATAGGTCCTTATTCTGTGATAGAGCCTGATACGCAGGCTAACAGCTGATTAGTTGGGCTGCCTCGTTTCTCATGTGATCACAAATTAAATATTATATGCGTTGTCAAAGGGCATGCGGATCTCATTCGGCTCACACCGGGCTCGTATGAACACGCCGTCGGAAGAGACGATAGGTCATCCAGAATTCTCTCTGATTTAGGTATTGGCGATCAATCTTACTGAGCAATCAAGAAATCAAATAGCAGCTCATGGATGGCTTGCGAGGAATGCCAGTAATATCAGCAAAGAATGCTTGAACAATGTATCAGATATGATATGCAAAGTGGCTCCTGCGTGTGACAGAAATGAAACCATGGTAGTGGAGCTTCTTAGTAGGCAGGATTGTGAGAGAATAATAAGTTGGTATGTATCGACAGATTTATGTAATCGTTCTTGTGAATGGTAGGAAAGTGTTGAAAAGTCGCGAGGATTTCTCCCCTGCTAGTCTGAAAACAGACCTACGTTTCGCCCGCGAATTTTAGGGCGGGCGTAACGTAGGTCTGTTTTCAGGCTACTCCCCTGCGAAAGCTCATGCACACGGAGCAACATTTTCAGGCACCACTTTTATCATATCTTTTTTCTCTAGTTTAAACACCACGTCCAAAGTTAAGAACCTTCATGAAGGCATGATGAATTGGTGTAGATCTTTACCAGATGCAAACACTGCTACGCAAATACCACTTTCACTTGTGTATACTGAGTTTGACGACAACATCACCTCCAAAACTCACAATGATACAAAGATAACCACAACCCCTACAACACAAAGCCCTATTCCAAACAAAATTGACCAAAGTCGAAACGGTACTGGTGAATCTGACGGCCCCAACACACCAACAAGACCATTCCTCAATTCGACTGATCAAAATAGAAAACCACCAACGATGCCAAAGAGTAACCCAATTACACAAGCGAATATAACCAAACCAAATGCGAAATCCAAACCAGCAACTGAAAATCCAACAGTCAATGCAACTTATCAAGAAAAGGAAAAGAAGGAAGCAAAGTCTGTTCCAAATCTTACGCCAACAACCGAAAGGATCAACAACACAACACAGGATCAACATGGCACCGCGTTATCCAAAACACTACAGCTAAATGCAACATCTTCGCCGGTTGTTAGTCGTGGGAATGCCACAACAGATAGCTATGTATACAATGCTACCACAACGAATGATCCCACAAATCATGGTAACAAGGCAGCACAGTTTAACACAAGAATGAATGCATTGGCGGTTTTGATTATTTCATTCTTGTCAATTTGTATGTGGCAATAGATTTTCCAAATTTCTCATTGAGTCCATGAGAATTTTCAAGACTCCAGCAAGGCAAAGCCGGTACATTTGTTCCAAAAAGTTGTAAGAACCTCTCAAGTTGTTTTTAGAGATTTACTCGATGGCATATATGACACTGTTGAATTGCATAGCCATAGCCAAATGAAAAGACACTCTTTTTATTTTATAAAAATCATGTTTATATAAGACTAATGTTTAAGCTCAAATTAGCAAAATTTTAAGAATATTAAATAAAACATCTTCTTCGCCTTGCTGTGAAAATATTAAAATGAAAGATATGAAGGACCATGACAAGGTCGAAATTGACCAATTCTTTGATGAATGTAATCACAGTTTGATTTAGTTG